GGTGTCATTAATATTGAACAATAGCACCAAGTAAAATATGTTTTGAGAAACAATATTGGTATTAATTAATGGTCCAGTGTATGGTAGAAAGAATTAATAACCAACAATAATTGTTTGTTCATATCCCCACAAACCACGATTATTATTATTATTATTATTATTATGTCAATATAGAATATTAAAAACCGTATAATATGCTGAGTGCACCCATGTATATTATACCCAAGAAGGTAGGACGACGCTTCCTCACTTCTATTGAACCATAAATGTAGCCCGATTGTATTATACACTCGTATCATAAAATATGAATTTTTTACCTACACTATATGATTCTTTTATAAGTATAATCACTATTATTATTTTTAAAAAGTATTAACATTTTTGAAAATACTTTTTCTACATAATTTAACATCATTCCAAAACAAAATTTTTGAAAAATATTCTTTTACTATTTTTTATGTTATTTACTTTTTTAACAACAAATTAAACATTTATACATTGTTTATGCTTTAAATACTTATCAGTTATAATTAATTAGCTGTTGTTTCAAAATCTGTTATTTAAACTTTTATATTTTCAAAAAAAATATCCTATTTTATGGAGTTTAAATTTAAAAAAATATATATACTGCTACTGATGTCATTCGAAAAAGTAAATAACATAAAAAATTATAACAATAATAGGTATAATTTTCTTCGAAAATGTAGATTCATAATCACTTATGTAAAAAAAATAATATTTCCAAAAATATTATTATTATTTTTATTCATAAAAAAAAACTACAAAAAGCAATGATTCTTCTACGAACATAGTATTAAGAAAATAAAAACATCAAATTTGTGTAATTAATAGTTATATATTAAATACATATGATTTAAAATAACTAAATAAATACTTTTAGTGTATAGATTTCAAAATAAACACAACATTTAACAATACACTAAGTATCCAAGTGTATTGTACAAATCGGCCATCGAATATTTATATCGTATACTGCACCATTGTCCATTACATCTTAGCACTGACAACGGTCGAGAAATAACTTGTGATTTATACTCGGTCAATACCGTACGAACAACTATTATGACAGCGCCTTCTACCATCGTTTTTTTTAACAATCCAACTCGTGTGCGAAGTACCAACCACGGCTACCGTTAATTTATTCACTAGAAAGCGCCTTAATTTTTAAATTTCAATCCCTAACCAACAGACACGGTTTACTGTGTTTACCGTGACACGGTTAATAGGTTAAGTCTTCTTATTTCATCTATTTTTTCCCCATATCAAACCGACTAAAGAGGAGACAGGTGTGGATTGACCAGAATCAGGATTTGCTAGTGTGCTGTATAATAGCACACCGATTCGGATCATGTCAGCCAAGTGGTCGATGGATATTTAACGATATCAACTCTATTTCTTACTACTATAATACTCGTAGTTTATCATTGTACAATTTATATTGAGAAATGTGCCGCATAACTCTCACTTTCCGGTCAGCCTCTTACCAACAGAAGACTTAACTTTAACCATCATTACTCCGTGGATTAGATTTCACCTAAGCCAACGATGATCGCTAAATACTATATAAGGTGGGAGTGAAAGAGAAGTGATTGGAGATGAATACTTCCGAGTATTAAATATAATATATTGGTGAATGGCCGATTAATCAATATTCGACCAAATATTGTCAGGATAATAATTAATAGTTGAGTATAAGTATAATACATTATTGCAAAGTTGTTATTAAATATTTTTAATGAAACGCAAGCTAATAATTTATTTGTATAAAATTACTAAAACATTTTAAGTTGTTAAGCTAATATTTTTAATTAATCTGTGGTGGAATTACTTGAAACTCAATCACTAATAAATAATATGTCTAAATGTATATAGTTTGTTTCATACTCACTTATACTTCACTAATCTTGTAAAAAACAACTTACATCATTTTCTCGCGTATTTTTTGGATATAAGTTGTTAACAAAACCATTTCATCAGTTTCGCCATATATAGATAACTCTATTTTAATATCTAATTATTCTGACAGTATCATAAAATACCATACGATTTAAAAATATCCATCAACACTCCCTATTTTTCCAAAATAGGACCACACCTTACTAATCGTCTAACATATCTCAAATTCCAGAGTTATAATTCTACCTAAAACCCAAAATAGTTTACCGTGGAACAAATAAGTTACAAATTTTGACTTAATAGTAATTAGTAAGTATATACACCTTTATGCAAAATCAAAATGTTTTTAAGTGTAACGTCATGATATATCATAATTATTTCAAACAATATTATTGTGTTTTTGATAAAAATAAATGATTTTGGTGTAATCTAAAATAGAAATAATCAATAGGTACTAAAATGGCTATTTTTTGAAAGAAATGTATGTCGTTTTAAGTTTTAAAATTTACGTAAAATTATAATAACTAATTTAGTAAATTCATAGGTATTGTGATGTGTATATAGGTACTATACATATAGGTACCTACACATTATTGTGTGGCTACAATTCACCAACATTAGTAGTTACCAACCCCAGTAACCAGTAACTATAACCTGAGACAGATGTCGGGCCCACCAGTGGTGAATGGATGTAATCATCAGCAGGTCTCGCTAGAGCTTAAATCGACAAATATCAAATTGGTTGAAAAACAAAAAACGCTCTTTTCAGAGCGATTTTACTCGCGACGCGTCTGTTTAGACAATCGTCCCCGGACTAAAGTGATCAACTACCATCACTTACTCAAGCAAGTTTGAAGATAACTGCGGTTCCATCTTATCTATCATTGTAAAGGTAGGTACATAATGAATCAGAGTTAGAACTGTGACTGCCACCTGTCAACGTCTCACCAACCGGAAATATTTTCCAAAATACTTTTTGGCACTGGTTCATTATTTGTAAAATATGGTTTTAATCCGTATAGTCTGTTAATTTCCATCCCCGATGTTCTGAATCGATTTTACGTCGGTACCATGTCTGCACCTGATGAAATGTTCGGAATAAAAGTATTATGAAAAATATTTCTTGTGAATGTTTGAAAAATTGTGAATCAACTTGTGGACATCAAAAACAAGGGATGAAGTTCTCAAGTGCGTGTAAAACATGCTAAGTGAACCATGCTTAAATTCTCATTCTGGCGTTCAACCTACAGATGAACAGTTGGGCAATTCCGATTCAGGTCACGAAGACATAACAACAACAAAGCGGAAAAATAAATAAAATATATAATTTAATTTAGAAAACTACAAGTATAATAGGAAGGTACCTACTGTATAGTAGGTATATAATAATGTGCTTTATTTGACTTCAGTTGAAAATTTATGATTACGAAAAGGGAACTAAAGGGGAAAAAAAAAGAAGTACAATTTTAAAATCTATAAATATTTATCGTGTGTCTATATTCATTTTTTTTTGTATTATTTTATTTTTCAGTCATGATTTTAAAACAAAATAATACATTTGACAATATTTAAAACCATGTCACTTAATTTATCCAATATTATACACAGAAAAATTTAATTAACGATAAAAGAGTTTAGGTACTGTTCAGTATTTACAAAAGATTAATGTAAGTATTGCAGGCAATATCTATAGAGAAGAATGCATACCTATAAAAAATATAAAGATTTTATCAATGTTATAAAAATACAAAATTAGGTAGATTATTGTTAATAATATTTTAGCAATATTTACTGTATAATAACACGAATCTAAACATATATATTATACTTACCTATTCTACGTTTTTCGGTCCGTTTGCCAACTACATACATACGTATAGAATATAATATTATATACATCATTATAGCGCGCAGCGCTACATTCTATAACGAACGGATTGGTACTCTTACACTAAAAATGTATATTTTCTTACTCGTCGACAATTTTATGATCTTTAATTTTTATATCAAATATTTTTATCATTAATAGTTTTAAAGGTATTGTTAAAAAATCAAAAGATTTCTCATAAAATCCAAGATGATGGACACTTGCGAACCTCGAAGGGATGGTGCATTTTATTTTTTTGGCTAATTAGGACCCTAAGACGAAACTTTTCGTTAAGTTTCAAAACTTTAGTATTTTTTGCACCCCCCCCCCCCCCCCTATTAACTTAACTATTTGACTATTATTGATTGTCGTGATGTTTCATTAAATTCTATAGTATTCCTTATGAGTTATGATTATATTATTCAATAGAAAAAAAGCTGATTTGATGTTAAGTTTAAAGCATAACAAATTTGAGTTATATAAATGGCTATACCCAATAATATATTTTCATTAATATAAGTGGTTACTATAAAACCTACAAATATATATATATATATACGAATATGAAACTACAGATGGAGAAATTTATATGGCTACTACAAACTTAACATGGGATTAAAATAAAAATCAAAAACTTAAAAACATGAAGTAGGTAAAAATATAATATATATATAAAAATGTATTTAACTTCTTTTAAAATAGAATAAACTTAATTTTGACTTTTTTGTTTAATATTAAAATATCTACCTATTAATTGCAATAATTATTTAAACATTTATAATTTATAGTACAGATCTTGCTGATAATCTAAGACAATCCATTATCAGTTATATAGTAGCATAATATCACATTATCGATGACAGGTATACAAATAAAATACTTATTACTGCTAGTTTATTAATCATTAATTACAATACCTTTAATCTTTATAATCTTTCTATTTTTAATAAGATTATACAATAGCACAGACAAATAAAATTTGTTTTTAATAACTAACAGAAACGATTAAAATTTAAGAAAAACTTGTTAAACGAGCAATTTTATAATTGCTTTATTTTCAATCAGAAATATATTTTTTCTCAGTAAAAAGTACTTTTTTATTATGTTTACACCTCAAAATCTGAATCCTATTAATTAATAATATTTTAGTATGTACTATGTAGACAATAAGTACAATCAATAAAATATTACAATCAATAAAAAAACACTTAATAAATAATTTACTATTCATATTTTAACAAATTTATTTCAGAACGTTAAGCTTAAGGGAACATGATAGTTAACTAGTTCACAATGTTTGTATAAAGCACAAATAATGTATAAACAATTATTATTCTAAAATAATACATGAATGTGTCTTGATGGATTTGAAGAACTTTATTCTAAATTACTGCCACAGGAGACTAAAAATTAATTATTTATTTAAATCATTAATACAAGTGAACATAAAAAAATGATATTTTATTTACTGATAAAATAAAAATACTACCTTAAAAGTCCAAATGATGGTCCACCAACCTCTGGTCCTTTGTTGAAACCTTTAAATATCAAAAAAAGTAAATTTAATATTTACTTCAATTACGTCTATTTACTTATGCATAAATACAATTTGTAGATGTAATAGTAACAAATATATTATACATAGTCATTAACTATTTATTTATGCACAATAATTCAAATTTGTTACATAGGTATTTTTTTTTTAATTAACCATAATATTAAATCCAATTTTTTTTTCTCTATCAATTAATAGAATCGTAAGTAATACTATTAAATTTAAAAAGCATTATGACATTTGAAAATAATTGAATAGTTCCTCATTTAAAGAATTGTACAATAAAAACAAACATACCCATGTATATAACGAATGGAATGAAGGCAACATGGTAAGATGTTTTGACGAATTCGGTGACTGACTCCAATCGAGCTTTTATTCCTGGTTTTAATAAACCCATTTTTGTTTATTTTGAATTTTTATTAGATTTTAGTTCTTAAAAATTTCAAAATTTTACAGTAATTTGTAAAACAGTAAAACCGTAAGCATTAAGTAATATAATTGTAAAATGTTGATAATAGATACGAGATAAAAGTTAGGTTAAATTTGAGGTAATGGCTTAACCTAAAATAGATTATGATAAAATGATCTATAAAAATTTATGTTATTATGATTATTAATATTATAAAATACAAATCTATAGGTAATGATTATTTAAATTATTATTATCTGTGGTATTCCATAATTTTTAATTCTAAATATTTTTAATAATATTAATAAAATACTTCAACCACAAACTATAGATAATATTCAACTACGGTTTATGTGATAAGACAACAGTCTTAGATTATTGGCTACAGACCACGATTAATGATAAGCAATTGATTAATGATTAATGATTATAGACTGAAAAAACGGCGAAAATTAGCAGTGTAAAGGTTTAATACTATTAAATATATAATTACATTCAATATTGTAAACTAGTAAAGGTAATTTGAAATAACAAAAGTTATTATTGTTTACTCGATTTGTGCTAAAAAGTAAAAAGTTATTAAAATAAAAATGTCTGACGATGAAATGGAAAAATTTGAAATCACTGATTTTGATTTGGACAATGAATTTAATATGAACAGACCCCAAAGACGACTAACTAAAAATCAAGCAATTTACGGTATTATATCAAATTATCTATAATAATAAATTTCAAAAAAGATATGGTGTATAGTAAAATAATTGAATTAATTTTGTAAATAGTTAATGGCTATAAATATTTCTTTAAAACAGTTCCTGTTATTGAATATGTATTATTAATAATAAATATTATTCCACTATATGATTCATTAAATATGCAAATTACCCTACAATGTTTTGTATTATTTAAGAGTTAATCATTTTCATTATATTATAAATAATTACTAAAAAAATTATTTTAGCTATATTTTGTAATTTACAAAATTAATTTATGGTTGACCAATTTTTCATGAATTATGAATAAACAATTGCTCATTTTTAGTATTAAATAACATACAACACATTTTCTAATATGTTGATTCATATTTTTTTACATCAAAAAAAATGTTTGCTATACATGGAACCATTTTTGATTACTCTTAAGCATGAAATTAAAAGCAAAAACTAATATTTGACAAATACCTAAGATATTCCATAAAAATAAATTATATACAATATTATCTAAATACTACCTTATTTCCAATATTATTTAAATATATTAAGTATCACTCACCAAATATAATATTTTCAAACAAATAATCCAACTAAAAGTATAAAAAATGTTATTGTTCAAATATAATAGCTTACATCATATGTACTTATCATATAAGTATAAGCACTGTGAAAACTACTTTTATTTTATTGTGTTATACATTTGTTATTTAGGAATTTGGGCTGATGAAGAAGGTAATGATAGTGACGATGAACCTTCAGGTTTTGGAGGCCGTAGAAAAAAAGATAAGAAATATAAACAAAACTACACTGCTCCCGTTTCATTTGTGGCTGGAGGAGTTCAGCAGGCTGGCAAAGAAAAAAAAGAAATTAAAACTGAAGAAAATAAAAGCAATGAAGCATACAATTTGGAAGATAATATCTCTGCATCTAGGTTTGAAAGATTAAATTTAAATATAATTTCCTATTAATTTAATATTTGTATTAATATATTATTATAGTGATGAAGAAAAACCAGCATTTAGTTTTGATATTGATCAAGAGTTGGCAGGATTACGAAAAAAACGATCCCAAGTAAATTCAAGTCTAATGAACAAAGGATTAGGAGATTGGGAAAAACATACAAAAGGAATTGGTGCAAAATTGTTGCTTGGAGTAATTTATAAATATTTTATTTATATATTAAGATTAATAAAAACTTAATAGTAACTCATAATTTTAAATTTAATAGATGGGTTATCAACCGGGTCATGGTTTAGGAAAAAAGCTTCAAGGTATTTTGGCTCCAATTGAAGCAAATTTAAGAAAAGGAAGAGGAGCAATTGGTACTCGATAACTATAAATTAATATACGTAATTTATACTAAAAATAATTCATCTTATTTTAGGTGCATATGGTCCCGAGTCTAAAACCAAACCAATGAAAATAGATGGTGAAAAAACAACAGAAAAGTCAAAAGATAACAAAGTTTTAGTAAGTGGTTGGAGAAAAGCTCTTAAAGCTGAAAAAACACAATATATTTATAAAACAGCTGAAGAAGTGATTGAAGAAAGTAAACAACCAGGGCAAAGAAAACGAGAATTCAAGTACAATTTTTACACTATTTAACTTTTAATTTTTATACATGTAGTGAGCATTTTTTATGATCAAGTAAATTTAGTAACTTTAAGTATATGTATTAATAATAAACCATGATACATCATAAATTGTATAACTTATTATACAATTTATTTTTATTTTCAGTGAACTAAGTAGAGTAAAAGTAATTGATATGACTGGTCCTGAACAGAGAATTTTATCTGGATATCATGCTATATCAGGTGTTAAAAAACCAACAGATCAGTGGGAAATACGGAAAGATAAAAAATACTCAAATTTTGATCTACCTGAGTTATTACATAATCTCAACCTATTAGTCGAAATTGCTGAACAAGTAAACAAAATAACTATACCTACCTATTTGATTTTATTATAAAATAAAATAAAAACATTAAATTTTGGTTTTATTACAGAACATAGTTACTAACAATCAAGAACTTTGTAATTTGGAGGATCGACTTGTTGTCATTGAACAAGAAACTAAAAAATTAGGAGAAAGTATTAATGACAAAGATAAATCAATTGAATCTCTTGAAAAAATGATTGTTATCATGGAATCTTTAAATGATGCATTAAAAAAAAATATGTTAGATAGTAACCAAGCTATAAAACGTTTAACAGAAATGAAAGTAAGTTTATTATTTAAAAATATTTTCTTTAACGTGTTGCTTAACTGAGATTTTAACTGTTCAGGAAAATTACTATCCAGATTATCGACTAAACGGTGGATCAGTTTTAGCTTTATCAATTTCTCAAATATTGATTAAAGAAATGCTATCTACGTGGGACCCATTACAAGATCCAACCATGCCTATCGAAGAACTCAAAAAATGGAAAGAACTACTAACTTTAAATGAGCCGTGTGCTGTTGGTTTTCAAACAAGTGATGAATTTCAAACATTAATTTGGCAAGAATGGGTACCTCAAGTTCAAAAAGCATGCGGGTGATTATAACATTAGTTAAATAAGAATTAATTGTTTTTTTTTTCAATACTCTATATTTGTTAGTTGTTATATTGGGGTTCACCAAATAACAGCCGGCATATAGACTGTAGACAAACTTTATCTAACTTACAGTCTTAGAATTATCTGTTAAAATCATTATTTTTAATAATGAATTTTAATTGATGATCTCTATGTTAATTCATAGTCAAAGTTTTCTTCTATGATTTATGTTGTGCGATGTTCTCAGCATTTTTATTTATTTTTTTTTTTTATTAAGGCAATGGAAGTGTCGAGATTATAATAGTATGTTAAAACTTGTTGAACAATCTGCTGAATTGATACCAACTGACATAATTAGTAAAGTTCTTGAAAATATGATTTTACCTCAAATACAGTCAGAAGTGGAAAAATGGGATCCGTTGACTGATCTTGTACCAATCCATTTGTGGATTCACCCATGGTTGCCATATTTAAGTGAGTCAAGTTCAATATAAATTATTAACTAGATAGATAATTTCAAATAAAATTATTATTTTATTGTTAACATAAATAGGTAAACATTTTGAAACAATTGTTTATCCTACACTAAGACAAAAATTAAGTGTAGCATTAAATGCCTGGCATCCATCCGACAATTCTGCTAAGTTGATGCTCCAACCATGGATAAATGTTTTTCAACAAGGCTACATGGAAGCTTTTCTAATAAAAAATATTGTTCCTAAATTACAAGCAGCTCTACATGCATTTGTTATCAACCCACATCATCAACAATTGGGTAACTTTTATATTAGTTTTAAAAATTATCATTAATATATTAAAATTTAAAAATAAAATTCTAATTTTTTATTTAGATAATTGGAATTGGGTTAATGCTTGGTCAGATGTATTACCATTGCCCACATTGGTAGAATTGTTAGACCAACACTTCTTTCCTAAGTGGCTCAAAACACTTACTATGTGGATAAATATGAATCCCAATCACGAACAAATAAGTAATTGGTATACAGGATGGAAGTCTTTAATGCCTGCCGTAATAGTTGAACATCCAACCATTAAAGGGAGATTTCATTCGGCTTTGGATATAATGAGCCGAGCAGTTGGAGGACCTTCTATGCCACAACCACCTCCACCACCAACGATTCACGTAAACAGCTTAAATTATAAAATGAACAAATAATTATTTTGTTATTATCATTATAATATTAAAGGTTTTGATTTATATTTTTAGGGTGGTCTAGCTGAAGCTGTACGTACTGCATCACAAATGCCACATGGCTTTAAAGAATTAGTACAAAAACGTTGCGAGGAACGAGGTATTTTATGGATGCCTATTTCTGGTCGTTTTAGAGAAGCTAAACAAGTATATAGATGTGGAGCCAGACTTCAAGCATTTATAGACCGTGGAGTTTTATTTGTTAGCCAAGATGGAACAAATTTTGCTCCAATGTCTGTACAGTCCATGTTAGAATTATGTGAATAAATTTGTATTAATATTATTGTTTATAATGACAAATTATTGGAAATATTATGTATAATTAAAGTTATGAAGATAAAATGTCAAATAAAAGCACTATTTTTGTAATGGGTTTTCAATTTTTATATATTTATTGATATTAATGAATATTTATGATATATTTATTAGATTTACATAGTAAGTGTAAATTATCATAGGTAGGGGTGTTTTTAGCATTTGCTTATATTAATCATGAATAAACTATTAATGATATAAACATCATCAATAACTCTGAAAATTTACTGAGATTAACAACATTAGTCATCCAAAATTGAACCGATTAACTTGGATAAAATCTAAATACTCTGGTTACCTACATCATGAATTATGTTTAAAATCAATTTATTAAAATTAAGACTGAAGTTTATTTAAAATTCCAAAAATTAGATTTTTAAAAACTGTATTATAAAATAAAAAAGGGATGTTTGGCGAATCACCTTGTATAGAGCATAATGTTTTTCAAAAATTACATTTTTTATATTTTAAATATTACATTCCAAAAATGTTTTTCACGAGAATACATTTAAATACTTATATATTCGGACGTAGAATATGGTATTACAAATCCTATTTCCGCGGCTAAATCTGAAAAACCGCTAACGCTAACAGTGTTATGAAATTTTCCTTTTACAAATACGTTTACTCCTAAGTATAAATTGTCTCGATAATCAATACTCCAAATTTAATTTATTCCGAGAACGCATTTTCTTTCAAAACCCGAGATTGAGCCGAATAATCATTATAAATCGACCAAAACATAAACATTTCCCAACGTTCGTTTCTTAATAATAATAGGTGCCTAATCGTCAGAGTACACTAAAAATTGCTTCGCATTAAAATTTAAAATCCTTGTATCCTAACTGAACATTGTGCCAACGTTGAAACGACGTTTATTGGGACAATAATTATTTTTGCGAGTAACTCAGTAGGGACTTGTGGAGAAAAAATGTAATTTTTGGAATAATTAATGAAATCGCGAACGTTAGAAATTCGGATAAAAATAAAAATCTGGCCGAATTCGTTTCGTAGCCATCAACTACATCAAAATTTTGTCGTATTACTCGTATTATTCGTACTTCATAATATTATTATCACTGAAAAAATGGTAATATCAGCAATCAGCTTACGTCTCGTCTAATCACTATAATCGTGCGCGTTCGTACTGCACTCCTGCCCACTAACCACTGATCACCAATAAAGCCTGTGCCCCCGTGTCACCCGACGGCCGACACTAGCTTTCGATTCCGTCAGTACTCAGTACTCACTATCCGCTATCCAGTAATTTTCGTCATTAAAATCGTTAAACCCGTTTTCAGTTTAGTTTTTCCTGCTGTTTGTCGGAAGACGTCACACGGATACGATTGACTTTAAACGGTCTTTCAACGCTAATATTTCGATCGCAGGACGGATTTCTGAACGTAAGTCCGCAATTATTTTTACACGTCATCGTCGGTTTCGCAGGGGAATTCAGTATCGAAATACGCCTTTTTGGTAATTTTATTTCCAATCGTTTGTCGCCGTTATTCGTTATCTTATCTCTAAATATTATTACAGTTCAGTCGGATCGGCCCCTTCATCATTATTTACTAAATAGTAAATCGACCATTTATTGTTATAATTTCCTAACTAGGTATCTTAATTTTTTTATTTTTTTTCCGAACAGTCAGAAATAATGGATAACTTTGGTGAGAATTTCGATGACAGCGATGTCGATCCAGCTGCAGAATTTTTAGCTCGCGAACAGACTCAATTGGCGGGCTTAGAAGACGATCTCAACACACCCAATGTACCGATCGGTGTCACCCAAACATTATCAAACGGTAACCACTATTAATCTCTACCAGCCGAGTACAATAGTCATCACTTGCCTGTTTTGTGAAGCTTTTTATTCATACCTTTGTATTATTTTTTTTTTCTGCATGCTATGAATTGTATGTACAATTAGGTTCAGGAAGCAGTTTTGAAATAATTGATAGTGCAGAAAACCAGTTAACTAACTCTGTAAATGGTGAGTTTATAAATTTAAAATTCATTCAAATAAAACATATCAGTTTAATTAAATGGTGTCTGTAGTACTATTTATGTATTAACATTTCATTGATAATAGTAAATTTCTTAATTTTTTTGAAATTTATTTATGATAAATACTTAATAGTATAAAAAAATAACACGCTTAATTTTAATATTAAACTGAGTCAAAACCAATTGTTCATTTTACTATGATTATTTTCCCATAAGTTATAAAATACTTTTAAATCGTGTTTCATTATTAAAAAGATTAATAACATTAAAATATTTAAAAAACTATATTTTCATTTAGATATTTGATTTCTATTAATATATTATTAATAATTGGTTCTTAACTTCTTAATATTCAAATTCTTGAAATTTTTTTTAAATAAATAAATCTTTTTTAATCTTTGTTTTAATAATAAAAGTAATGACTAATAAATATAGATAAATTACTTGTTGAAACTAGTTTTAATTTAAAAAAAAAAAATAATAAGAAATAGGAATGTACTGAACCTATACCTAATAATTTCTAAATTATCCCTCAAGATTAAGGCAAATAAATGTATGTACTTATCATTTATTTTTAATTAACATTTTTTATTTAATAAAACCCTAAGCTCTTATTCAAGTAGAAGTCTAGTTACGCCAATTTCTGTTATGCTTTTCTCATATTATTTGCAAGTGTTGTTTTATTATTGTTTTGTTTTTTTTTCCTTTGACCTAGAAAATGGATTAACGAATGGTTTTACTGCTACGAATAGTGATGATGGTAAGTAAAAGGCTGTAAATTTACCATAGATATATACCAAACATATAGATATAAAATTATTTATTATTTATTACGTTAAGTTTAAATTATTATTTATAAAGCCTATTATTTTAATGAATATATTTATATTATTATGTTACTTGAATTAAAACATTACTGAGTAGCTTCAATCGCTTAAAAATAAATAAATCAAAAACTAATTAGAAACATTTTTTTTTTATATTAGCAATATATTTTATAAAACTATTGCTATTGTAAATTTGTTTATAGTTATGAGTCTTAATTCCTTTTGTTATGTGCACCATGATAAAATGTTCTAAACTTTAATAATTTAATTCAGAAAAACAAATAGTGAGTATTGATAGCACTTGTATTATTTTTAGATACATATTGTTTATAAGTAGGAATTGGATTTGCTTACATTTGTATATTAGTAGTTTTTTGTACTTAATGTAAATTAAGCACATATCTTTCATAAATGTACGATTGAAAATAATATTTTCTTTTTATCAGATTTCTGCATTGTAAAGTTAGAGCATATTTTACAATATTAAAGTCATTTTCTTTTAATAATATGTGGCACTATTTTTAACTAAAATAAAAATTATTTAAATTACTAAAAATTAAAATTAAAAAAGTAAATATTTTTATATGGACAAATTAAATTTGATACTTTTCAAAAAAAAAGATAAGATAAACTTAAAGTCTTTTTATTTATTAGTTTACTATGAATATTGTAAACTGTTTTATATTAATAAAAATAAATTCATACGTTTTGAAATATGGTTTTTATAATTAAGCATGTTTAACCATTGTTGGTGTATAAATGTATATTTTTAAGAACATTTGTAAGTGAATATACTTAATACCTTACTTTTTAGTCATCTTTATGATTTATCTGATATCTATAAACATTTGAATGATTAAATTTAAAAAAGTAAGAAAGTAGATAATAGCTCTACTGTACAGTAGATGTTGATTGTACCTTGTAATTGATTTGGTCACTGTAATGAATATAATATTATGAAGTTTATTGAAATACCTATTATCATGTACAAAAAATTATTCTGAATGGTTACTAAACAATTATTTAAAAAATAACTGAAAAATTTCTGCTTTTATCCCATTAAAATACAAATTAAATCACATTTTTTGCTGGAAAAAGTATCTTCATACAAAATAAAAAAAAAAACACTTATCAATTTAAAATCAATACATTCATTACTCTGATCAGAATCTAAAAATAGTTTTTGTATATTTTGTACATGTCTGTGCAGTAAAAAAATTGGTTTCACCTAAAAAAAATTGTGAGTAAATTATTATTTTTTAGGGTATGATTATTAAAATTAAAAGTATAAAACATTTTAATAATTTTTATGACTTTTTAACTATATTTTTTTCTTTAGATACATCATCGCCAATTATTGCTCCAAAAATTGAAAGAGAAGAACCAGAAAAAATTAAAAAATGGCGAGAAGAACAAAAGACCCGATTAGAAGAAAAAGGTATTATCATATGATGATGAAAAGAACTTTATGATATTTTACTTAATTTATTTTGTGAATGTGTCATTAGACGCTGATGAAGAAAAAAAGAAGGAAGAATTACGATTGATTGCTAAAAAGGAATTGGAAGAATGGTACAAGATTCACAAGGAACAAATCGCAAAAACTAAAGATGTTAATCGGTAATATATATACCAATATTGTAAATACTATTATATTTTATCATAAATATGTTTTTCTTAAATGCTTCATCGGAATAGAGAATCTGCAATGTAAGTAATACAATTAAGCTTAATAGATTGATGATGACCATTTAGTTTTAATTAGAAAATGTATTGACAATTTTTTTTATTATTATTATTTGTAATATTGGTTCTTCTCTGATTTTCATCTAGAAATGCCGAAAAACAATTTGTTGCTGAATCGGATGAAATTGAGCCAGGCACTGAGTGGGACCGCATCTCAAAACTCTGCGATTTTAACCCAAAATCCAGTCGTGCTAGTAAAGACGTGACACGCATGAGATCTATCATTCTTCAACTCAAACAAACTCCGTTGAAGAAATCTGTTTCACCTGCAAAATAATTTGTAATTATAATTTCCTTTCTGTCATTCCTATACAGTAAAATATTTATTCTATTGAGATTTTTTTTATTTTATAGCATTGCTACATAGTAAATGTAATATTAAATTCAGAGATAATAGATTTATAATAATTTTTGTAGCATGTTTATGCTCATTATATTGTATTATTTATTTGTTGTTTATAAAATATTATTCATAAAATTCAATTAAAATGTATCTGTTACTTGTAATATATCATAACCTATTGCAATAAATATCAAATATTTATACTTAACATTAGATTCTCATTTATTGTGTTATCTGGTTCTTGTTTATCATTATAATTTGTAGATTTGTGTAGTTTGATTTATTATAATATATTTTTATAAATTATAATTGGCTTATGTATATATATATATATATATATATATATATTTAATAGGATATATTATACATTCTATGAATTATTTTTTTTTCTATAATATGGGTATGAGTGGACAGAGTAGGTTGACGCTGGCTAGCTGATTAAAAAAGCGACCCTTTATTGGCCTTTTTTTTTCTATGAAGTCCCTGCGCTGTTGATAAATTAATCATCTAGGTATATTTTCAAAAATATTTGTCAATTTATTGAATTGAGATTCTTAATCAGGGAAAGAGGTTGACAGTTGGCTAAGCAGGATAGGAATCTTTTATTAAAGATGTGTGCAGTCTTGGATAAAGAGTGATTGAAGACATTGGACATCCCCATCCACTATTAGGTGTAGTGTATTTGAATTAGAGTGTTTGGATTCTTGTAAATTTGACAGTTTTATAGATATAACATTATATTATTGTCTGTGCTTGGTTCGGATGCTGTAAAATCAAAAATCATAGTTTTGTATAGAATTTATATTTTAAGATTAAAATTTGATTGTTTTTTTTTTATTAGAAACTAGGTTCTCATGTCTTCAGTTGAGCAATAGTCATTTTATTTTAATTTTATCATTTCATTGAGTCATTTATCTAAAAACATTCCTAAGTAGTGGGTATTTGTTGATTAACTTTGGAATTATGGTGTTGATTAGAACTATGAGAAGAGAAACGCTTTTACATATTGTAAATGTACCATGTAGATAATGTTTGAGTGTTATTTTTGACACTTCATTTAGTGTATCAAATGAATAATAGATGAAGGTGATTTTTTAGATTATTAGAGGTTATAATTGGGTTACTAAGGGTGGTTAAAATAGCTTTGTAATATCTATGTTATCATACAAGTGTATTAGAAGTATTTAGTTCATCGTCTAAGAAAATGTTAAATAGAACCAAAGATATATTTTGTTTTTTAAGGAACTCTAACTTTGGAAAGTGCTTCAGAAGATGGAATTTCAGCTATTGCGGTAATATCTTTTAGTTTTTCAATAATATTGCTATTAATTAATATCTATAATTGAGAAGACCACTTGTAAAATAAAATAAAATTAAGAATAAAACCATAAAATTTAAGAAATTTTCATTGGCCTTACTTCAACTAACACTTATTATACTTAAACTCGAAAACAGAACAATTAAGAAACTAATAAAGAACAGAAACAACTTTTTATCAAGTATGAAACTAAAATTAACCTCATCTTAATACAAAATTACCTTAACCCATCAATTAAATAATTAAATAGACTAAATATTCACAAATAAGTTCTTGAATAAATCACAGTATGACATTTTGAGACATTAAAATAAACATTCAACTTACCTGCCCACAATAACATTACCAAAGAATTGATGTCTTCCTAAATACGAAGGAAATGGGTACATCATTCTTTTAAAGAAAATGCCTGATATCCTCTGCATAAATGAGGAACTGACAATATGATAATATTAGAACAAAAAAATCATTAACAGAAGAGGTTATAAATCACTATCATGTGGAATTTCAGAAGAAACATAGAAGTAATCAGATTAAATGCATTCTTTTCTTCAATAAATTTAGATATAAAGGAAAAATCACAATAGTATATGTTAGATAACTATTTTATTATACGAGCATGTGATACAAAAACCTGAATTTTCTACATTAAAATTAACTTCAAGCCTTAAGGCCTTAACAATACGCCTAGTAACTATAGATACCATTTAGAAGGTTTATGCGATTCATGAACATAACTAAAAATATAGTTTTTTATTTAAAAGTAAAGGTATATCTTGTAAAGTAAAAAATCATTAATAAATACATTAATTAAACAATAAATATGGGGATATTTTAAAAGAGACATTATCTCTTTGAATAAATAAATAATTGTTAAATCTGATAACTAAAAATAAACATACAAAAATAGGTTAACTTTAGAATTCATTACCACTTGATCAATAGTAATAGTAACATTGTAGTTTAGAACCATAACGAATTTTCTTTGCTTTTTGACATAGATTGGTTTAAATCTGCACGCAAGCTTTCAGCTAATTCTTCTAGCGATTCTGCTTCCGACAACAACATAAGCTATACAAGAAAAAATTAATATAAAAAAGATAAATAAAATAAAATTATAGCTAAAAAAAATTCACTTTAGCAGAAGCAATCATCTCACGAGCTACTTTTAACGGTAAATGATTAATAACATTGCATAATTCTTTTTTATTTGCTTTAGCTACATCATTTAATGTTTTATAACCTGCTTTAAATAATTGAGTTGCTCTACCCTATAATAAACATTTGTGAGTTAGTTTGATTTAATAACAATAATTTACACATTAATAAAAGAATTTAAAAATCATATACTTACAAATCTCACGGATGGCAAACTCATTAAAGATTCAAGTTCAGATGAATTTCCTAATATCCCTATGTTGAGTTTGGGAATAATATTTTGAAATAACATTGGAAAATGATCCAACTTTTTATCATTTAATGCCTAAAATTTAAAACTGATTTAATTTCAATCACATTAAATATAATTAAGGTATGTTAATTCAGCGATGCCCAATCCTATATTCAGTTATACTTTTAAGATAACATTACTAGTAGACACTATGGTAAAATAACTAACGAATATTGATGGTAGAATCTATTCTATTTTTTCAAATAACAGATTGTAATAATACCCAACGCAAATAAATTTTAAGCAAGATGTCAACATTGATTAATACTTTAATTTTAATATCATATTATTTTTATTGTATTTTCCATTCATTTTAAATTAATTATGAATACTTCATTCAATTAATTAATAAAAAGCATACTAGTAATTTACTAATTATATTTAGGTAAAGAGTAATTAATTTGATTTTAATATGTTATTGTGCAAAACAATCTTAAGTATGATTGAATTTAGTTTATACATTTAAATACGATCATAATTCATTTGATTCTTATAAAATTTAAATATTGATCCAATAAAATAAAACAAAAAAGAAAACCTAATCTGACTTAGTTTTTTAGGGAGTGAATGAGTAAAATCATATTTTGCTAAGCCTAAAAATAACAATTTGGGCACCACTGTCATGATTAAATGTGATTTTCACCTCAGTAAATCTTAATATGGAAGAAGCGTTTGATGCAGTTCTCGATAAGAATGAATGTATTGTTCCCCTTTGCAAGTTATATGTCTTAGAGACTGTCCAAATAGATTTTTTATTCCACAAATCATTCAAAATCAAACTCATAAGAAACTTCTCCCAAATACTTTCAGATACATTCTATTAGTTTAAAATTGGAAAAAAATTAACATAATAAAAATAATAATATGTAACTAATATGCTCTTGAGTATTACAGAGTTATTTTAGTAGTTACAAATATTTATTGTATTTTTAAAGTATTTTTATTTTTTAACAAAAAAAATTCTTACTTTAATTTTTCCATAACTAAAGAATTGTGATATACATAATTCATTTAATCCTAATCGATTAGCCAATGCTTGTTGATCTCCTTGTAAATTTGTCATCTATGAGAAAAGATAATTTAAAAATCTTTCTTTATAATATATCTCATTTAAGTTAAGAAACTTAATAAGTGGTCAAAGTGTGCACAAAGGTATTTTTGCATTAAGTTGTAGGCGTACAGATGTTAGATTTGATAAGGGTAATGGAAGGACAAACCTAACTGTTGTCCACTACTGAATTTATTTCTTAGCTTAAATAGGATATAATATAATAAACACTCTGTTGCTATACTTACTATATCTAAAACAATTGAACGGTCCAATGTGATACATTCTGTATAAGGAACAGCTAAGTATAATAAATGAAGCTTATTAGTCAATATTAATGCACTAGAAGCTTCCAATAATTCTGTATATAATTTTTGAGCTTCTAATATGTCCAAGTTAGCAGCAACTGCAGCTTTTGCAATTGTTGTTAATTTTAATTTATCTTCAGTTGACTTATCAAATGCATTTATTGATCTTAATTTATCTAAACATGATTCTATTATATCTGATGCAACTGTACATTCAACATTATGCTTCTCAGCTTGTTGAACAAAAAGCGTGCGCTTCATTAGGTTTACCAGTTGTTGTTGACTAGATGTACGCCCTGTACTTATAGAACTTAATATCATTGAATAAACTACATTTTCTTCAGTACCAAGGCAGCTGTCAATATTTTCAATGCCACTTTCTATTAATACTTTTATCTAAAATTAAAATATTTTATAAAATCAAAAAAATGTATCATAAAAATAAGTATTTATCTAAAATTTAAACTTTCTTATATATTTATAATAATACATCTTGATTTTATCATCAATAGCATAAGAAACATGTACAGCTATGCCACTGAATTTGTAAACTAATTACTAAAAAATCACAAAATAAAAATAACCCATTTATAAAATTATAATGTATTCATAATAACCTTTTCTTTATCATTTTCTTGGCATAATAGAACACTGTCACCACTTTCTGTCAGACCAGCTCTACCAGCACGCCCTACCATTTGTCTGTATGTACTTCGTTTCATTAAGTCTCGTCCAACATATGGTGATGTTATTATAACCTAATTAATTAAAATAATAATTAAATAATGCTTGCAGTATTGTATGTTGGATAGGCCACAGGAACTAGAATTTTACATCTATATCAAAAACAACTATTATTGAATCTTAATAAAAAAATTT